GTCTTTCATTAAAACAACCTACCATCGTTTCTCCTTCTGGGTAACCGGTGGGTTGGAACCACCGACCTTTAAGTTCATGCCTGGTGCTTTAGCCAAGGCACCACCAGGCCACATAAACTTTGTCGAAGAGACAATCACCAGGCAAGCAAGATCAGCTGCATTGAGTGCAGTGCAGTGCTGTCTTGGCATGCTCGCATACCCCATTGAGCTCTATCTGGACCCAAGCCCATCGGCCTGTCCTCTCATGTGAACGGATCGGTGCTGCCCCAGCTCTGGCTATTGTCTGGGCTGGTCCCCTCCCTTCTGTGAGCCCCATGCAGGAGAAGCAGCACCTCTACGCATTCACAAGAGAACTTAGAATGGGCTGCGTAGACCTCCCTGAAGCTCTGTGAGGGTTGGGGCAGGGAGGGGACCATACCTGCTCACAGCCCACTGAAGGGCCTCACAGCTCCCGTGGACGGCCCTTACTTCCTCAGGCCCCGCGATGTGGCTTCCTCACCAGGGATCCCCTCGCCAGCCCCTCACGCACACCCAGCCCACCTGACACTCCTCTCTCCAGCCCTCCTTTCTTGGGAGCAGGTTAGCTCTGGCTCTGCCCTCTGGCTCTACAACTCACTGAACTAACTAACCTGTCCTGTGCCTCAGTTTCACCATCTGTAAAATGGGGATAATCATCATACCTCCTCTAAAAGTTCTTGTGAACATTGAATAAGTGAATATGGTGGTTAAGTCTACGACTGTGCCTGTTCTGTGTTGGGCTGTTGACTGAAAAGGTGGTGGTTCAAATCCAGCATCTGCTCCGTGCAAATCTGAGTCCCAGAAGCCCATGAGGGTCATGATGAGCCAGCATCTATCAGATGGCGGCACACTTTAAAAACGTGCTGTTGTTGGGCAGGGCTTCTGGTGGCACGGTTGTTTATGTCACCCCTTCACCTTCAGCCTGGGAGGTGAAGCTGCTAACGGAAAGGCCAGTAGTTCGAATTCACCAGCCGTGCCCAGGAGCAAGCTGCCTGCTTCCACAGAGGCTTACAGCCTGGAGTTCTGCTCCGTCTCACGGGGTTGCTGTAAGCTGGAATCCACTCCACAGCAGAGGTGCACGTCCTTGTGTTTAATTCTTCTTAATTATTGAGCAGAATGGCTGAAGAGCCATAATTAGAGAAATCAAAGTGGCTTCCCCAGCCCAGCTGCTGGTCAGGAATTGGTTTTTGGGTCAAAGGCAGCCCTGCTCCGCCTCGGGTAGGTCTACCAGGCCTCTGTGCCACAGCCTGGTGAGATGGCAGCAGATGGACCCAGCCAGAGGCACTCTCAGCTCCGGGCCGCTCTTAGGGAAGCAGAGTGTATTTCCAAGGATGCTGGGTGTCTGGTCCAGCTCCACCTGCGTGGTTTGGGGTGGGAGGACTGGCCCCTGTTAGCCCAGGGCTCCTTCCACCTGGCAGGTGCACTGGTCCCTGAGTGGAAACACAACACTGGACCCTATGTGGACATGCAGTGCTGACCAGACAGGAGGGCACAGGCGAGAAATCAACCCCCCAAACCCATCAATTGACAGGACAGAGTAGAGCTGCCCTTGAACTTTCTCAGCCTGCAAGTCTTTCTAGAAGCAGGTGCTACATCTTTCTGCCGAGAAGGAGTTTGTGGATTCAAACGGCTGGCCTCTCAACTAGTGGCTGAGGGCTGAAACCCTGTACCACCAGGATCCTTAGTACAAACAGAGGGCCTCCTGCTGGCCTCCCCTGCAGAGTCTGCCTCATGTGACCCAGCACATGTCCTATGCAGGGCAGATTCTCCAGGGCTTGGGGACCAAGAGAGGATGACACCGGCCCTGCCTCAGAAGCGCCTGCAGCCCCAGGCTCTCACGTCTGAGCCTCAGATGGTACAGCTGGGCCCAAGCCCCTGTGGTCAGCATCCTGGGGCCCCCACTTCCGCTCTCTGGGCCTGAGAAGGCGCCCGGCTCCTGTGGCTGGGGTTTTTCTGAGCTGCTGAGGGAGGGCTCCTGAGTCACGTGGGTGAGCCCTGAATTGCAGCGTTATCGGTGAGTGCTCCTCAGCCCCTCCCAGTGCTAACTGTCTAGTCAAATCAGTCCTCCTGCCTGACCATGAGGGCCGCCCTGAGCTCTCAGCACATCTGCCTCCTAAACACACAGCTGGAGGTTCAAGTTCATCAAGAGGCACCTCGGAAGAAAGGCCTGGCAATCACTTCCACTGAAAACCTTGCAGAACAGTCCTGTTCTGAGACACAAGGTCAAGCCCATGGTCACTGGCAAGCTGCAGCCAATCTACTTCCACTGAAAACCTCTCAGGGCACAGTCCTGCTCTGAGACATAAGGTCAATACCATGGTCACTGGTAAAGCTGAAGCCAAGCCTCAGGCCAGTGTCCACTAGAGGGACCTGGGAGTCTTTGCCCAGGCAGGAGGAGGTCAGAGCCCCCTAACTTGCTAACCCCCAACCTGGGCTCCTGCTCCCCAAGGGTAGTTCTAGAACAGGAGGGCAAATGCTCATAGCAGCAAGCCTTTCAGCAACCCTATGCCCACAGATTCACCACCCAGGGAGGATCACAGTGCCACCACTGACCCCTGTCCACTAGCAGCTGACTCCCCAAGAGACAAGGGGCAGAACCCCAGCCTGACAAAAGCCCATCTCTCCACACACTTCTGCTCTGAGACTATTCCTGTAAGTGGCAGAAATGCCACCCTTGTCTTCTTGTTCAAGCTGTTGGGTCAAGCCTTGTTCACACACAGGAGAGGAAGGGGCAGCTTGTTCCTCATGGAGTCAGAAGCATTTGCTTGAAGGGACTGGTTTTATTTTCTGTTCTGAGTGTGTCTCTTGTGCCACTTCGGAGCTGAAGGCTGCACTCACCCATGAGATGACGTGCTGGAAGGTGGAGGCCTGCTACCCTGCACTCGGCTAGTTCTCAGGGCTTACAGCTCATCTGTGGACAAGGTGCTGGGGGGACACCCGGGCGGGGCTGCAGGCAGGTGGACAGCTGGTCTGTGATGTCCTGAGCCCGTGTGGACACACTTGTCCCTGTGACATGAAGATGGTACAGGGCTGGGTGATGGGTCATCCTGGCCCCTGCTCGGAGTTCAGCTCAGTCGGAGCTAACAGCAGCCTGAGAGGCCTGGGCCAGCAGGAAGGGAGGTTTCCCTGCAGAGGGGGCGAAGGCCGGCGCAGAGGCCAGGGGTCCCTGGGGAGGGGCTTTGAGCCCTGGGGTTTGAGCTAAAAGTGTCTTGAGATGGAAGAGTGAGCTGTCAAGGCTCAGATGGCAGTGGGCAGCTGTGGACCCCAGGACGGCTGAGGTGCTGACGTCACACTCTGATGGTCTGAGCAGAGGTGATGGGAGAAGGTGGCCGACAAACACGGGGAGACCCAGCTCAGGGCCAATTTTGCACCCAGCCAGCGGCCCCGCCTCCTCGTGAGAATATGGGGATGGAAGTCTATGCAAGGCCTTTCCTGGGAGTAAGGAGTTTGGCTATTACGCCAGAGGTTGGGAGTTCAAGTCCACCTACACGTGACTCAGAGGACTCTCCTGAGAAACCAGCCTCTGAAGACCACAGAGCACACAGTCCTCCCCGATGCGCACAGGCACCTGTGTCAGGGTCAGCTCTCCGGTTAGGGTTGACAGCACCGGGGGGGTTAGGACACTTGTGCTTTGTAATCAGCCACGCTGTGGCACCCTCGTCAGAGGACATCGTGAGGATTAGTGGATGGAGCAGGGCCTTGGTCCAGCTTCCCTTGGGCAGAGGAGAGTGTGGGTCTGGTGGGTGCAAGCTCGGCTTGTGAGAGGCTAGAGGTCTCCCCATCCTTTTAACCCCCAGGGAGGTCCCCCAGAGGCAGCACTCCTGGGATGCCCAGGAGCCTGCATCCCTTCTGTGAACATGAGAGTGGACTTTGGAAGCGGCATCAAGTGGGTTCAGCTGCGAGGGTGGGCGGCTTGGTCCAAGCTCAATCTGCACGCACACAGCTTGACAGGTGACAGTGGGGTGGGTAGATGGTCTGGTGGTTTCCCCTGTAGCTCGGGGGACAGGTGGCCTGGGATTTGGCTATCTGAGCCCTGACTTCTCAGTCTCCCCATTCCTGCACTGCAGATGGAATGCATGTGGAAGGAGCTGGCTCATGGACAGCCGCTTAACACCACAGATCTAGGCAGAGAAGGTGCCCCAAACAGCCGCCGCTGCCCTCTGGCCTGGGGAAGAACGGGGCTGTCCCTGACCAGCCACAGGCCCTCGGAAAAGCCCAGAAGACCCTTGAGAGACTTAGGTGGAGATCCTCTGCCCCTCACTGCACCCGGGCGCTTTCCGAGGAAGGACCGAGTGGGGAAGTGCTCAGACCTCAGCGTGCAGAGCAAGGGGCCCCCTCCTTCTCAACCAGACAAGAAGGGTGTTTCAGAAAGGAACCCACAGTGAGGGGCTGGGCCCTGGGGTCAGCACAACTGCCACCTTCTGGAATGTTCTGGAACAGCGGCATAGGATAGAGGCCAAGGAGGCTTAAGACCCTCTTGAACACAGAGATAGGACTTCCGCCATGCCCAGGCCCAAGTCCCTCCTTGATGACGCTCACCCCACAACAGTGACTCCCCCAAAACAGCTTCTGCCAGAGCCCAGAGTCCAGGCCCAAGAAGCACCCCTGAGACCATGATCTCTGTCTGGTAGGACCCTGGAATGGGCATCCTTAACCAGTGCCCGTGCTGAGCAAGCTGCATTCGAACACATGACTCCACGGTGCCCAGCCCCTGGCCCCAGCCTGGCCTCCAGAGGCCACAGCTCAAGGATAGCGGCCTCCTAGGACCCAGACCCAAGTGGCCCTGGAGAAAACAAGCCAGGGTGGTCGAGTTCCCTTAATGCCACAGCCAAGCAGGCCAAAGGTGGTGCCCACTGGCCCCACCACAAACTGAGTCCCCACAGGTGACATGAAAACAACTGCCCACAGGTCCTCACCAGGCCCTGGACTGGCCTCCCCTCTTCCTCCCAGAGGGCTGTCGGGGGGGCACCCTGGGGACTTACAGCACACAGAGGGCATATGCCCTGGAGATGGACTCGCTGGCACGCACGAGGAAGCTCCCATCCTGGCCGGTCCTGGACAGCAGCTCCTCCGCCTTGGAGCGCGTGATGTTGCCATGGTTCCAGCAGGGGACCATGGTGGCCGGGGGCCTGGTCGGTGGGCCAACGGCCACCCAGGACCCACGCGCCACTGAGGGGCTGCTGAGGGCCCGCTCTGCGACCTGCCTTCTGTCCTCTCTGCCGCCTTGCAGGCTGCCACCAGCTCCACTGGCTGACTTCCTGCTTGAGCGCTCAGGGAGAGGAAGGAAGCTGAGCTGCCGAGAACTTCCTTATGACAGAAACCAACCGAGGGGGGAGAGAGGGCCTGTCTGCCACCTTTCTCCCACCCGCACCCCAAGCCCAGCTCCTCTTCCTCCTCTCCCCCTCCATGGGGCTCAGTCTGCAGAGAAATTCCTACCTGGTGGACTCTTGAGGAGTCCAGAGTCCAGGACCAGCTTCTGAAGGTGCATGGCCCAGCAAGCTTGGTTGGCCCAAAGCAATGGCCTTGAAGGTCTGCAGGGTGGCCCCATGGAAGCCACGCTCTGGCCAACTTGTCTGATTTCTGCACCCCAACCCAACATGCCTAGAAGAAGGGCTGCCTCGGAACAGAGCAGTATTGAGGCTCCTGTTGCTACCTCACCCCCATATTGGAAACCCAGCCACCCGGGGAACTGTGGCCACATCAACCCAGGTCTCAGAGGGCCCAGGTCTCATGTGGTGACCCGTTCATTCTGAGGGACTTCACTCAAAACAACATGCTTTTAGCTTGGAAGAACTCTAGAAGTCCTAATCCACAATATACAGTCTTCCAAGCATCCTGAAAAATCTACCACCAGGAGGGAATAAAATAGATGAATGGGACCTTCTAAGAATCAAATCCCTGTGCACATCCAAAAACTTCTCCAACAGGATAAAAAGGGAAGCCACAAACTGGGGGTAAATATTTGGTAATGACATGTCAGATAAGGGACTTATATCTAGAATTTATGAAATACTCGAGCAACACAACAAGATAAACAATCCAATTGAAAAATTGGCACAGGATATGAACAGACACTTCACCAAAGAAGACGTTCAGATAGCAAATAAACACATGAAGAAATGTTCAAAACCCATAGCTCTAAGAGAGATGCAAATTAAAGCAACTATGAGACATCATCTCACCCAGAAAGAATTGCAAAATTTAGCAGACAGCAAACAAAAAATGCTGGCGAGGTTGTGGAAAACTGGAACCCTTATTCATTGTTGGCGGGATGGTAAAATGGTACAACCACTATGGAAGGCTCTATGGCTCTTTCTCAAAAAGTTGCAAATAGAGATACCATTTGATCCAGCGATTCCACTACTGGGAATATAACCTAAAGAAACCATAACTGCCACCCAAGCAGATATACACACACCCATATTTATCGTGGCTTTGTTCACAATAGCAAAGAGTTGGAAACAACCTAAGTGCCCATCAACAAATGAATGAATAGAGAAGCTCTGGTATATTCACACAATGGAATACTATGTTGCATTGAAAAACAAGGAACTCATGCAATATTATTCAAAATGGGTGACCCTGGAAGACATTATGCTGAGTGAAATATCTCAGGCACAAAAGAACAAATACTGCATAGTACCACTGTTGTAAAACGAAACTGACATCAGGGTTGGCAGGAGACTGAGAAAGATGGGATAAATAATGTACTGCATTGAAACAGATGAGGAAGAGAACAGTTTAAAAGGGATATATGATTAGGTATTATTGTCATGACAGGATTCCAGAATGAAGGTTGCATTGTAGAGTGGACTTGGCTGGGCGGGGGGAAGGATTGTATAACAATGAAAGAATTTCTCTTTTACTTTTCAAAGAGAAGAGTGAATTGGGGGGAAGTTTGGGCAGGGAGAAAAGTGCAACAATGAATAAATGGAAATGCAAAGCAAAAAACAAAAAAACAACAACAAGGGAGCTCTGGTAGCCTAGTGGCAAGAAGCTGCACTGCAATCCCAGGGGTATGTGGTTCCAATACACCAGATGCTCTGCTGGAAAGGAGGGGCAATCCCCTCCTGTACCAGTCAGATCAGATTTGACGGTACACACACAAAATAACAAATTTTTAAAAATAAAAAAATTTTAAAAAAATAAAAACACCACACCAAAACCAACACACTCTTGTCAAGCTGATGCCGTCTCACAGCTGACCCTCCAAACGGGTTTTCAGAGGCTGTGAATCACATGAGAGGAGATTCTCTGTATTTGCCCCAAGGAGCCACTGGTGAATGTCAGCCACCATAGAGGAGCCACGTCGGTTGAGCATCACACCTCCCTGCCCATTAGGCCACTGGAGCTGCTTCTGAGGGGCCCGGGGGGGGGCAAAGGAGCTGAGGTCCCCGAGGCGTCGTGTCCTAGCTTATGAACGAAGGGCTCTGCAGTGGATGTGGAGGAGAGTGGTTACAGCCACAGGTGGGCTCACACTTATCTCAGGACCTCTCCAGAACACGGGGAGCCAGTACCAACAGAAGCAGCCCCACACCCCTGGGAAAAGCTGCAGGCCTGGCTGAAGGGCTGTGCTCATTCCCGGGTCCAGGGCTCAGCAGCGTTGGGGGTTGACCAGTTATACCAGGCTGCTCTGAATATGCCTCTGGGATTAACCAGTCAGATCGCCTCCTCTGAACAAAGCTCTGAGATTGATCAGTAAGATCGAGCCTCCTTCTCTGGGCATCACACCAGGCTGACCAGTCTGGACTGGGTCTCCTCTTGTTGGGAATGGCTCTGTGGGTTGCTTTGTGGGGGGCACCATCTGACCAGCAGATTTCTGAAGGCACCAAAATCAATGCCAGCCCTTAGGTCCCAGAGCCAGGTGGCCTTCATTCCCAGTCCTCATCCACCTTGAATGAAGGGGCACATGCACAGCTAGAGCACAAGTAGTGTCGCCCGAGTCCCACCTCCGAGCCTTGCCTCTCAAGACGTGACCTCAGAACCCCTCCGCCCCATTGGGCTGAACTGACTTTGCACAGCGTGACATGGGTGAGCTCACTGCGCTGGACCCTCAGAAACAAGAACAAAAGAAAGAGCGGACAAGGCCTTGTCACTGGCGGCACTGACCTTGGCCTGGCCTCTCTTCACCCCCCAACAAGAAACAACCAGCGGGCAGATGTTATTGTGGAGGGCGAGATGAAGGGGGTTCATGTTCTCAGAGGCCAGGCTCCTCACTCTGCCCCCCACCCAGGTTTATCTTGTTTTGTTGTGAATCACAGGTATTATGTCTTTCACCAATTGAAGGTCTGTGGCAACCCTGAGCTGAGCCATCCATCACGCCATTCCTCCAGCAGCACGGGCTCACTCCACGTCTCTGCGTCTCCTTTTATTCTTGCAATATTTCAAACTTTTCTGCAACTCTTAACACACCTTGTCCTTTTGCTTTATTGCAATCTTTTGTTGAGAAAAACAACAAAACACTCATTGCCGTCAAGTCAAAACCGACTCATGGCTGATCCTTTGTGGGTTTTCCGAAGACTGTTGATCTGTCTGTCTCCCATGGAGCAGCTAGGAGATTCAAAGCCCCTGCCTTTGGATCGAAAGCACATCTCTCCACCCACTAGGCCACCAGAGTTCCCATCCTATTTCCTGCATCGTTGTTGTTCTGTGCTGTCGACTACGACTCATGGCGACCCTGTGCACCGTAGCTCTGAACCCTGCTCCATCCTGAGCCAACCTCACAGGCCCCGACACACCTACCCTCATTACCCCAGTTACTGTGTCAACCGATCTCACCTGGGTCTTCCTCTCCTGCGCTGTCCCCCCACCCTTCCAGCATGATGTACTCTCCAAGGACTGGTTCCTCCTGGAAACATGCTCAAAATATATGAGATAGAGCCTCAAAATCCTTGCCTCCAAGGCGCAGCTTGGTTTTACTCTCTCCACCCTACTTGCACTGAGAAATAGTGTGTCATTGATTGAACTGTGTACCCCCAAGAACACGTGTGGACGTGGACATTGGGCTAGGAGAGGCTATTCCTTGGAGAGGGACATCATGCTTGGAGAGGTCAGCAAAAGAAAGGAAGACCCTTAACCAGATAGATTGACACAGTGACTGCAGCAATAGACCCAAATATGTCAGCAATGTGCGGATGGCACAGGATAGGACAGGGTTCAGCCTGTTGTTGATAGGGTCGCTACGGGTTAGACTCCTCTCGATGGAACCTAACAACAACAACAACATCATTCAAAACTGTGCTCATAGAATCTTTCAACACTGCAGCTTGAGGCTTGGCTTGGTTTTCAATTCTTTCCGCTTGAGGAGTGCTGAGTGACTTCTTCCCTTTTGATTTTCCAACCCCAGCTCTTTGCATATTTCTTTATAAGACTTTGTCTTCTCAAGCTACCCTTTGGAATCTTCAGCTCATCTCCTTAAGTTTGGCATCTCCTCCCTTTTGTTTTGGCTCCTTGATGCTCTAATACAATTTTCAGAGTCTCTTCTGACTCCTCGGTTGGCCTTTTCTTTCTCTGTGTTGTACTAACCTTCTGCTTTTTAGACAACTCACACAGTCTTCAATCATTAGTGTTCAATGCATCACACCTATTCCTGAGATCGTTTCTAAGTTCAGGTGGATAGACGTAGGCTGTGTATTGGTTCTTGGGGACTTGTTTTCATTACCTTCAGCTTCAACTTGAGTTTACACATGAATCACCGATGGCCGCTTCCACAATCAGCACCTGGTCTGGGTTTTGGCTGCAGATATAGAGCTTCTGCATCGACTCTGCACAGATGGAGTTAATCTGATTCCTGTGTGGCCCATCAGGTGAGGTCCATGTGCCTGCTCCTAACTGTTGTTGTTAGGTGCTGTTGAGTACCACTCATAGCGACACTATGAACAGCAGGCCTGGGCCCTGTCCTGCCCTGAGCCAACCTCACAATCTCTGACACACTTGTGTCTGTTGCTACAGTCATTGCATCACTCCATCATCTCACTGGCGTCTTTCTCTTTTCCGCTGACCCTCCACCTTGCCAAGTATGCCCCTCTCCAAGGAATAGCCTCACCTATCAACATGCCCAGAGTATGTGCAATGCAAATAAAAAGAAAGAACAGAGATAATCTCTCACCTTTACAA